AGCAGGGGGATTCTTCAGCATATATATATTTGGGACTGCGTCTGTTGCAGAAGCAAACTTTTCTTGGAGTTCTAACATATTTTCTCACTGCCACATTGTACTGAAGCAGAAATTTGCCTGAGACTGCTTCATGAAAATGTTCAAACGTCTCTTTTAAATGCATGTGGTTATTCGTATAGTGGTCAGATGGCTTCCATCGTGCATCACCTGGTCTTCCTCTGAAATTCCCTGATGTGATTCTGCCCATTTTACACGCAGTGTTTGAGCACAGGAAAAATACTTTCAGATGCCTCTCTCAAAAAATAAATTTGATTCTGTCAAGACATTTTTCTCCAAATTTCAAAAAGTTTATTTTCATGAATAATTAAGAAATTAAGGAAAAACTGAAAACAGACAAATATCAAGAAAAACAAACTCAGAGGTAACACATGCTTCTTAGACACTCTGTAAGATTTCAGATACAAGACACAGGTATTTAGGCTCTGGTGACAGGACTTCCCCCAGCTCACCAAAGCTGTATGTGGGATGAACAATGAGGTGCCTGGACACATTCAGACCCTCATCTATCAGTAATAACTGATAATTCTATAACTCTGCAGTAGTTATGGAAAAAGGGATCTTTTTTTTGCAAGGAAATGGGGAGCATGGTATTATTTGCCAACAGGAGACACATACTTTGGAGTTCTTTGGGCAGTTCTGCTCCCCATCCCCTCACCAGGGATCCTTGCTCTCTGCCAAGCAGGGTAAAGAGATGCCCTTGCCTCATGTGAAGGAGGCAAAAAGTTACTGTTATCAGGCCATTGTCCCAGTTTTAGAGCCTCTGCAAAGTGTGGAAATCCAGGAAGATGGAAATAGCGCATCCCATGTTTTCCTTGGATAACCAGTCCAAAGGAAGGACTGGGTAGAGAGACAGCAAAGGCTAAGGGATCCCTCTCTCAAACACAACGAACAGCACTTTTATGCTCGGTAGGGTTCTTTTACCCCCTTGGCTATGGAAAAGGAAATGTAGATTTGCGGATGGGGCTGCACAAGCCAGCACAGGGACACTGGTTACGTTCTACCCAGCTGCTGTTGCTGAGACTGCCACACAGCAGAAGTGCATCCCGTCTAGGTTTCAACTGCCATGGGTCTCGGGGCTGATGCTTAGGGAGTAATCTCCCCGCTGCAGCAGTGCCCAGTTAGCATGACTACCTGCCCAAGTCTTTGCCCATACTCTCAGGCTGGTTTTGTAGCCCCTGCTAAGGCCAGCGCTACTCCAGCCAGGCTGCTAACTGCCTCCAAGCTGTCCTAGTGAAAGCTAGCTTTATTTTTCTACATTACAGGGCAGCAGCAAAAGCAAGACTACAGTGTAGACATACCATGTGTCTCTCAGACCCCAAGTGCAACTTTATTTAGACAGACAAAAAATATAAGTTAGGTAAATAAAAAACAAATTTTCTGGGTGATGTTGGAGAGCTGCCTCGATGGTCCTTATTTCTCACACGCACTCAACTAGGATACCTTCATTTTGCCTTTCTCAGGAGCTGCTTCACAGATAAGTGGTTGCTCATCCCCATTCACTGACAAGATCCTCTTTTCTGGGGGCTGCTCCTCAGGCTGGCGGGCAATCAGCAGACGACAGGTAAGCAGGATCCCAAAGACTAGGGCATGGGCATAACGCTTGAGTGGATCCCCCACTAGCTGGTGGAAAAAGAGCACAGCCAGCACGAGGAGGAGGAGGAGAAAGTTGGCCACGTCTTTGGGGCGACCAGGCACCAGTGTCATAACAATGCCACACGCCACTTCTAGGGCACCAATGCTCTTGCGGAGAAGGATGGAGCTGATTCCCATCTTCTTTAGCATGGGGAGGGCCCGCACGTAGCTTTTGTATGCTCGTTTCTGAAATCAAGCAGTAATAGCACAGAACACCATAATGTGAGAAAGTAAAGGCAAAGGTGACTTCCATTGAAATAGACTGATGTGCAACGTGACCTAAAGATCACTTAAATCATCACAGACCCCTGTGGCACAATATCCAATCTGTACCCCTGAAGCTTCTGTTGGAGGGATATTGACACCATCAACCTGCAATTCCCCCTTTATAAGCTGTTGTCTCCTTGCTAGAAGAGTTCTGCAACCTAGCACCCATCTTTGCAGCTAGGACCAGGCCAGGTGTACCCTCTCCTGAAATCTGAAGTTACAATTGCTAGAATTAGCAATGCAGAACCATGTTCTGAAAAAAAAAAGTACCTCTAAGAGTAGCTTGTCCTTTATAATTAAATAATACACCTAGTCCCTGCAAAGCCAAGGCACAAGTAAAAAAAGAAGTCTCTTTCCACCTCAGAGCAACTTACAATATCCCAGTGTTTATGGACAGTACAATCTTAGCATGTGACCGTACATCAAAGCTGAGGTTCACCAACCCTATCCTGTGCCTATGTACTTTTATGATCCTTTCTTTCCTCAGATGAAAGCAAGCTGACATTTTACATCCTTTGCTCCCTGGTTTATGCTGGATTTAGAAGCAGTGTAAGTTGCAAGACTCGGCCTCCTTACATGGCTGCTTCATTGTTTCAGAGAAGAAACAACCTCTGTCCTTACACACGTTCAAGTTCTTGCATTTGAACATTAGGTGCTCATGGGTTTGGGTTTTTTTTTTTCTTTTTCAATCAAGTATTTCCTTTTTTATATCTTTTAATAAAGCTCCTAGTTATTGGAGACACTGAAATTATTTCCACTTACACTTGAGTATACTATCCCTGCAGATATTCTTGCCATTGTATTCTCTGCTTTCTAACCAGGGAGAGGGAAATGGAAGCAGAATCTCAGAGTTGTTCAGCTCCCACAGGTGCTTATTGGATTGTAGATTTACTTCCTTGTGATCTTGGAAACCTGCACTACAGGCACACAGAAATTCCCTGCTTCTCTGTAAATTTTGCTGCTTCCTTCTAAAAGGAGCTGACACTTCATTTAACTGTCGTTAAAAAAAATACAGCATTGTCATTTTTGCTACTAAATAATTGAAGATCTCATGACACATTTACTCTAAGTGTATGCATCATAAGGATGCATTTTAAACCTTCAGTGAATAAAACCTTCCCTCTGAGCAAAGTATTTATTTAAAGTATTTAAAATACAGCTTTATAAAGAAATGTACTATCAGCATATTCTTAGAGTACTCTGGTATTTTAAGTATTTTAATAGACAAACTAGCGTGTCTGTGTTTTGCTGAATGAGAAACTGGAAGTTTGGTGTTGTAGGTAGATAACAGAAGTTCTCTATTTGCTTGGGGCAAGAAGCCACGCTTACTGATTGGCAAGATCAGGTTTTCACTAACCATCTCCATTACATGACAGACCACCCTGGTATGCAGCACAGCAAAAGCATGAAAGCCTAATGAGCCATGAACATGTTACAATACGGGCTATTAAGAATGATGGTGCTGTGCAATATCCAAGTGCCTCTGCCTTTCTCCTTGTAAAAACAGAGAAAATTCCTACCTGTAGGCCTGACTCTTGGTAAAGCAGAAAGGGACAGAGAAGGAAAATATTTTACAGAGCAAGGATTTTGCAATGCTTCTAAAGTCTCAGTGCTTTCTTCTGTCCCTTAAGTAGCAGAAGCTTAAGAGCTTTGTTTTCTGGGCATTTTATTTGTCTCTTGCTCCTGAGTTACTTCTTGGTGATTCTTTCTGAGATCCCTGTGCTGGGCTGCAGACAAGGCACTGCGATTCAGATGTTAGGAAAAGCAGTTGGGCAGGTGGAGCAAATGGAGAGAACAGAATATGCTGGAAACTTCCAGCAGTATTTTTTTAGGGGCACAAAAATTATACCAACGCTTTTCAGCCACTGCAATAAATATAACAGGGGGCGGGGGGCAGGAGAATAAACAAACATAGACAAGGAAACAAAACGTGGCAGCCAGTCCTTTGCCTGTTTGCAGCTTGCAGATGGCAAAGCTCTGCAGCAGGGTTGGCCCTGGGCAGAGAGGAACAGAAATTAGCTCACCAGCTGAGAAATGCACATGGTGACTTTTTCCTCTCCTCACCCCTTTCCCATTAGGCAAGAGGAGGAGAGGCTCATTTCCCATGCTAAAGAGAATAATAAGGTGACTATTAATAATATCTTCTTCTGCCAGCTAAGAATATCAAAGCATTTCATGGTCACTAATTAATCCTTGCACAAGTTTGGTGAGGTAGAGACAATCAGCATCATTATCGTTCCTTTAAAGCACAGAATTTTGAGGATCATCATCTGGATGCCAAAGCAGGCATCTGCTTTCCCTAACCCCAGGCCAGAGGGTAGTTATTCTCCCGGGGATCGGCTCTACCTGCCTGCTACACGTCTGGCACTTCTTCAGACCTTGCTTTTCAGAGACCCTTGTGTCCCCATCTTTTTGCAGGCAGCAGTGTGCTGTGCTATCCCATCCTCCTCCCCTCCCCTCCCTGTCCTTATCCACGAGAGGTTTCTCCATGGGTAGGCTGAGTCCAGGCAAGGGCTGCCCCCCCCATCTCTCCGGGCTCCAGAGCAGCCACCCTCCATGTACCCCACTGCAAACGCTGCTGCCGCCGCACGGGCGGGGGGAGCGCGCCCCCGGCGCTGCCGCACTCACCATCTCGTTGTAGGCGTCCCTGCTGAGCCGGGGGGTCAGCTTGATGGTTCCCATAAACACGAAGAAGAGCCCCAGAGCCACCGAGAGGGCGATGATGGTGATGGTCCTGGGAGATGCCATGGGGCCGCCGGCAACCGGTCCTAGAGAGGCCTTCTCGCTCTGGCTGCCAGCCCGGGCGGGAGGTAGCCAGCCACCATCGAAGGAGGCAAGGACTAAAGCTGCGGCGGCAGCGAGGGGGATAG